AAAAATTCACTACAAGAGAGAGAGAGAGAGAGAGAGAGAGATTGAATTTCTAAGAATAAAATTATATTTTATTTTTTAAGCCGTGATTACTATCGCTATGTATTTTCGGTCTTTATTATCGTCAATACATTCATTCATTCATTATTATTAATCACATATTATTTAAACGCATTTCCTTTACAACAGGATATGTTTACTCCCAATGAATGAAATACTTATCGTCTATAAGTCTATAGACATGTCTTTTAATTTCATAGTACCTTTAGGGGGCAGAACAGGAGGTGTATTATCTAGATGTATATCAATCGGTTGCTAATACGTTGATTATAACAGGAAAATATATTCAATAAATTATTACATTATTAAATATTATTTGCATTTTTGCAAAATTAGTTTAGACTTAATTACAACACAAGATATGATATCATTATTAAAATATTTAAACTCTTTTTCTTGAGAATAAGCCTTTGCTTTAGTTTTATTAGTAATGCTTTTTTGTATATTAAAACTGATAATTCAATCGTTACTATTGGCGTTAGTTTTTTATCCGCACATTATATGTGCAGTAGATTATTGTGAAACACAATATCCACAAGTATTTTTCACAAGAATTTCTCTCTCTCTCTCTCTCTCTCTCTCTCTCTCTCCACAACTCACACACAGAACTCGACGGCATTAGTCTTGAAGTGATTTTTTCCGAGAAAAAGGGGTTGCAATGGGTGTTAACCTCAATATTCACAAAACACATTCACATTATATGTATAATATATCCGCACACATATGTATACTATACCATGAGCTCATCAGTACCGGTATGTGTATATGTATTATACATCTCTCCGAGAGAGAGAGAGAGAGAGTGGGCGGCCACAAAGGCCAGTAAATTTCAGTCCTTAAATTATCGCAAATTTTGAAACCCACTAAAAAAGTAAAGTTCCTAATAATACTAACGTCACTAACACGCCGTGATAATGTTGTACTCCTTTAAGTGATGTATGAATTGGTGATTACATTGAAATGTGCGCTAAATATTTACTTTTCTCCTGTAATTTCTCACGACTCGTCTCGAAGAGTATTTTTTTCATTTACAAGAAAAATAAATAAATATAAATATATATTAATATTATAAGTATTTAAAGCGAATTGCATTTTTTGAAATATTCCGCTCGACTCTCTCTCTCTCTCTCTCTCTCTCTCTCTCTCTCTCCTATCGTATATCACATAACATGAGAATTAATTTTTGAAAAAATAATAATAATATAAATAAATATTTTCCGAGAAACTAACACTTTATCGCTGAATAAAGCGGAGGAAATCGTATACTTATTCATCAAGTTTTTCATAATATGTATGAAAACAAATACCGGGAACACGAGAATGACTAGTGAATTGTTGCTAGCGCTCATCATTCTAACACTTTATCGCTGAATAAAGCGGAGGAAATCGTATACTTATTCATCAAGTTTTTCATAATATGTATGAAAACAAATACCGGGAACACGAGAATGACTAGTGAATTGTTGCTAGCGCTCATCATGGTATTTAAAACTATTTATTTTAAACACCACGTTTGGTGTAAAATTTAAAATCTCAACACACAATGAGTGGTTAACTTTTGTTGTATTCTTGGAAACCGTGCCATCGATTACCGGTTCTCAATGTTTCACTGAGAAATCCAATTACAACTAGAAAATAGAAATAACAGTTTCGAGCAGTTTTTTGGCCACTTTTAGTGTCATTAAAGAGATTTCAATATAAATAAGTCATTAAAATTTCATTTAATACTTTTGTAATACTATTCATATTCAGATATATCTGGATAATGTATACTGTATATGACACCCCACCCACACATTAATTGCACATGGAGATTTTTATTGCCAACATATATCGACATACACTGTATACCAACCTAGATCACATTGTAATTTAATTGCTGGGCTTATAATATTAACTATTTATTTATTTGCATTTAAGGCCATAAATCAATGCATAGACTACTTGTCTATATTTATAAATCATAGGTTAAAGTGATGGGTGGTATTTCAATACCATGATCATATTACTGGGGGTCAACATACTCAGGCAAACAGTTGCTAAAATAAATAAATAACCATGTTAATACGATTAAACCGGGTAATTATATACAGGGGGTGTCTATTATAGGGTACATTTGGACCCAACACTAACTGTTACTGAATATACGGCATGTAATGTATGAACAGCTCATTTGGGTTATTGTTTACAATCAAACAAAACATAACAACAAATAATTAATTACAAGTTTTTCAACAAAAAAATAAGTTTTAATAACAATTAATACAAGCGTTGAATGCATTGAATGAATAGTAATAACAGTAATAATGCTATCGATTAGTGACGAGCAAAAGGAGTCAATCGTACGGCTGATGAACGCTATAGTGAGCGACAGTCCGCGAGTCACTAATCTTAACAATCGGTCGATAGTTAGCCAGAAGTTAGTGAAACTCATCCACTATTTTGAACACTCAATCAGCGAAGGTATGCGTCAAGTGTATAGTGTACTCACCCTATAGTGTACTACCGGTACTACACCTACACTGACTGCACCAGTGATTGTGTCATGTTTTTTGGTTTACCCAAAAACCCGATTTCTAACCCATTTATAATCAGCTGTTTTGTAGGTCTGTTATAGTAAACCCCGTTATAGTGAAGGCACGCGTGCTTTAGTTGATCCCATCCTATTAGTCAGGTGGCCATCACTTGTGTCAGTCCATTGATAGTATCGGTAGTGCCGGCGCTAAACGCCGAGAGCGACACTTGTCGTCGAAAGCGTTGGATCTAATGGTGTGACTAAAACACCACTCAATGATATACTAATTGAATTGATATCCCATTCACTTCTTCAGGCAATAAGAGTCTTCTGGTACTGAAATGTGTGTCGTTTGAGGCGCTGATCGAGAACTGGTTACTCGACTACTACTTCATATATTAAATTATATATAACTATCGATTAGATTAATATAATAGAAAATAAAGTTATAAATAAAATATAAGTTTTATTGTACTTCAAAAAACAAAGTCTATTACTGTTTATTGAAACAAAAGGCTGAGAATATTAACAAAATAAATGAAAATGATAAAAATTTCTTATCTATATCTCTGACACAATAATTCTGTTGCAAAACAAATTGTCTTAAATTATAAACAGAAATGATTATTGAAAATTGAATTCCGACGCCTTATTACCTATTAGTATAATATTAAAGTAGATATTATAAGTGAATAGATTTAATACAATAACAAAATATAAACTAATTTACGAGTATATTAAGTGCATTACATGTTTACTGACAACATTTCAATGTATAAATTCTGGCAATTTATAGCAAAATTGTTTTAGTTTATCATTCAATGAGTATTTTCTCAACAAAAGTAATTCCCACTCAAAATGAAGAGATTGTTAGTTAAAATAAATGAACAAAGTTAATAAAATTAAATTCAACGAATTATTTAAGTTATTTATTACGATAAAAAGTCTTATTTGTCTTCATATAAATCACTAAAACATTAATAAATGATTTAATTAACTGTTAGATAACATAGCGATGAGAATGAAATGGATATTGATTTTATGGCATAGAATTTTAAAAAACAACAAAAATTTCTTGGGTTATAAATAAATACAATGTTTTGCCACAAATTGTCTTAAACTAAAAGTAAAAATCCTGTCAAACCATTGTATTTACCTTTAAAACTGGTACTAATTCTGTCAATAAAATCTGTATTCATATAATAATGCCAATGTTGCCAATGATGCCAATGTTCCCAATGATACCAATGTTGCCAATGATGCTAATGTTCCCAATGTTCCCAATGATACCAATGTTGTCAATGATGCCAATAATCCCAATGTTGCCAATGATGCCAAATAATTTAGTGTATAATTAAATATAGTATTTGATTAAATATAGATTTTCGATATTGAGAGCTCAATAACATTAGACAAAGATTTCTGTTATTATGCATTTTCTAATTAATCAATAGATTATTAATATAAATATAATAATAACTAGGACAACCCCCTGGTTAGTGGACACCCCGCTGGACACCCTACTGACCCCCCGATTGCAACCCGGCTATAGTGTTTGTTATTTTATGAATGAATGTTATTTTATATTAACAGTGACTCACTTTTCTGGTATAATTTTAATAATAGTATGAGATTATTAATAATATTGCTTATAATGTCTATTTTCAATAAATGACTTGTAATTTTCAAGACTTATATTTCTACCACTCATTCAAACGTGTGATTCATTAATTCCTGTAATGAAATATTAAACAATTAAATCAAATGACAATTAATTAATTACTAATCGATTCTTTGCACTCATTTTAATGTGTGGTTTTGTGGGAAAATGAGTCTCAAATGAGTGAACAGACAATTAATCAAACAATTGATATCAATTTATATACAATACATATGCGATGTGAATACTATTGGTATCTATTGTTTAAACAAAGAGTTAAATCAGATAATCATCTCTTGGATGACTTGTTTGATAGGTACTAATGACTAGACATATACCTGTCCTCCAAGTGTTGTTCATCTGCTTTTAATCGATCATTTGTAACCAAATCACTGTCTGTGATATCACTAAAATGCCATCATTTTTGCAAAATCACAAAAAAAATAATTACCATAAGTAAACATCATGGATATAATCGATATTATTATATAAATAGTTAATTAATCATAATAAATTCATTAAGTTTGTGATTCATTACTTCAACACAATTAACAAACAATATTTTTCAATGAAAAGTACTTTTAATGTATAGTAGAAATATATAGGATTTAAGTTATATTATATAACAATGTTTTCAATCACATAATCAATAGGTAAGTCATTATTAAAAGTTAATTCAAAAAATGATAATAAATTAAGAAATGGTTAAAAGAACGAATCAAAAGTACATTAGACTATATTAAGTTCTAAAGAGTTAAGTTATAAAACAACATAATGTATGGCACCGACACATACCGGCGCTAAACGACGATCATTAATGATCTTAACAAACGCTTAACAACTCTCGCAAAACAAATTGAGTTGAATTTTGATTTCAATGATTTTAAATAACAATTTACATTACATTATGCCTTAATATATAAGTTATAACAAAAGTCAGTGAAAATAAATTAAAATTAGAAAACAATTTGTAAAAAATTGTACAAATATTTTGCGGTCACAAAAACATCGCCGACACATGTCTTGTGATTTGTATTTTACAGTACATTGAGTTCAGTCTTCACCACCAATTGATGATCAAACAAATCGGCGTCAAAAACATTAAACTCGTTGCTCTCAACACCGGCGACAGCGCGGGTGTCGACGGCCAGCAGCGACTCACCGGCGGCGACGACATCCGTGGCTACCGATGCCGTGGCGGCTGCCGCTGACTGTCGGGCCACCGATCGAGCCATACGTTTCGTATGCGTTTGTTTGTGTTCCTTGAGTTTGTCGGCGCGCGAGAAGTGTTTGCCGCACTCATCGCACCCGAAGTTGCGTTCGCCCGTATGGGTCACCAGATGTCGGCGCATATCAAACGACGACCGGAACCGGAGTTCGCAGCCATTCCACGGACACATGAACGGCTTGGACAGCGGTTTGTGGACAAACTCGTGCCGTTTCAGCTTGTATTTCGAGGCGAATGATCGGTGACAGTATAGACACACCAATGTCTGGCCGCTACTCGTTTGGCCGCCCGACTGAGACGTCTGGTCGGGCGACGACCCGTTGCCGCCGGTGTCCAACATTTGAGGTATGATTAGTTCGTCAGCCATGGAGGCCAGCGATGAGTACGTGTGCACTGTGTTTGGCTTGAGTTGAAGGCCGGCCGTGGCGTACGCTGTGGGCAGACCACCCATCGACTGGTGTTTGTAAAACATTACAATTAATGAAAAAAATCAATTAATAACAACACAATCACCCAATGATCAGTACCTCTGCGTCCATGTCATTGATGGCGTCCAAGAACTCCACGGCTTCGGACTTTATGTGGTATTCAATATCACTCCCGGTGTCGGCGGTCCGCGAATCGGATGCCGCCGTTTGGCCATAGTTTGTACTATCGTTGTAATCATCGTCACCAGCGGTGGTAGACGTGGAGGTATTGACGGTAGCGTTGGAAGAGGTATTGGCGTCCATCTGTTGGCGCAACAGTGCGGCCACTTTGTCCTTCTTGAGCATCTGATCCAAGCGCGCGTTAAACACACGCAATTGGTTCCAGTGGTCGTTGAAATACATGACAATATGCGGGAAACAGATGGAGAACTTGTGGATCACGTATAGTATGAGCAGCGAAGCGGTGGACAACTCTTGTTCGACGCCTTCCTCGATGTCGAACGACTCCATCACAGAGTCTTCGCAGTAGTAGTCGAGTAACCAGTTCTCGATCAGCGCCTCAAACGACACACATTTCAGTACCAGAAGACTCTTATTGCCTGAAGAAGTGAATGGGATATCAATTCAATTAGTATATCATTGAGTGGTGTTTGAGTCACACTATTAGATCCAACGCTATCGACGACAAGTGTCGCTCTCTCGCCGTTTAGCGCCGGCACTACCGATACTATCAATGGACTGACACAAGTGATGGACACCTGACTAATAGGTGGGGATCAACTAAAACACATGCCTTCACTATAACGGGGTTTACTATAACAGGCCTACAAAACAGCTGATTATAAATGGGTTAGAAATCGGGTGTTTGGGTGAACCAGAGAAATGCCACAATCACTGGACGCCAGTGTATGTGTAGTACCGGTAGTACACTATAGGGTGAGTACACTATACAGTACTAATGCATACCTTCGCTGATTGAGTGTTCAAAATAGTGGATGAGTTTCACTAACTTCTGGCTAACTATCGACCGATTGTTAAGATTAGTGACAACTGGACTGTCGCTCACTATAGCGTTCATCAGCCGTACGATTGACTCCTTTTGCTCGTCACTAATCGATAGCATTATTATTACTGTTATTACTATTCATTCAATGCATTCAACGCTTGTGTTAATTGTTATTAAAACTAATTTTTGTTTGAAAAACTTGTAATTAATTTATTTGTTGTTATGTTTTGTTGTGATTGTAAACAATAACCCAAATGAGCTGTTCATACATTACGTGCCGTATATTCAGTAACAGTTACTGTTGGGTCCAAATGTACCCTATAATAGACACCCCCTGTATATAATTACTTGGTTTAATCGTATTAACATGATTATTTATTTATTTTAGCAACTGTTTGCCTGAGTATGTTGACCCCCAGTAATATGATCGTGGTATTGAAATACCACCCATCACTTTAACCTATGATTTATAAATATAGACAACTGGTCTATGCATTGATTTATGGCCTTAAATGCAAATAAATAAATAGTTAATATTATAAGCCCAGCAATTAAATTACAATGTGATCTAGGTTGGCATACAGTGTATTGTACGGTGTATGTCAATATATATTGGTAATAAAAATCTCCATGTGCAATTAAAGTGTGGGTGGGGTGTCATATACTGTATACATTATCCAGATATATCTGGATATGAATAGTATTACAAAAGTATTAAATAAAATTTTAATGACTTATTTATATTGAAATCTCTTTAATGACACTAAAAGTGGCCAAAAACGACTCGAAACTGTTATTTCTATTTTCTAGTTGTAATTGGATTTTCAACGAAACATTGAGAACCGGTAATCGATGGCACGGTTTCCAAGAATATAACAAAAGTTAACCACTCATTGTGTGTTGAGATTTTAAATTTTACACCAAACGTGGTGTTTAAAATAAATAGTTTTAAATACCATGATGATGAGCGCTAGCAACAATTCACTAGTCATTCTCGTGTTCCCGGTATTTGTTTTCATACATATTATGAAAAACTTGATGAATAAGTATACGATTTCCTCCGCTTTATTCAGCGATAAAGTGTTAG